TTTTCCAAAACGCATCCATCCGAAAAGTTATTGAAACGCATTGCTAGAGCAATCAGCGTATCAGAAACAAAGTTGATGCTTCGTTTGTTTTTGGTTACCATTAGTGTTTTAAAAATGCAAAATTGAGAAAAATTGTCTATTGCTATATTGAATATTTAAAGTATGCAACTGATTTTTTTTTGCACGAAATCAGTACTTTAGACTTTTACATGCTATAAAAATCAGTACTTTTCAGTACACTTGTATTCAAAGCATAATTATGAATGTAAGTAACTGAAGATACTTTAAAAGGCCAGAATTCTTGTTTTTAACAATATTTTGGTATATAAATAAAAAAAAAAACAATAATTAATTAGGAAAAGAATTCTTTACATTTCATTTTAAAATTTTGGAGTTTCGAATGTAGGAAACAATAGAGCTCTTAATACTGATTCAAATATTATTCTTGTAGGCCTGGGGGCAGATTCTGTAACCAGTTAGCGACAATTTTCGAATCGGTAACGGTTTTTTTGACGTATGATATGAAATTTTCCGATATTGTCGCTAACTGGTTACAGAATCTCCCCCCTGAAAGGCTTCTTCATTCGTCAAAGTGTTTTAGCCGATATCATATAAATTAGTAAAAAAAGTTGTTTCTAAACTTGAAATGCATATAAGGGCGAAGGTTTAATGTAAAAAAATAGGTATCGGGTACCGAAAAGGAAGTATTGAATACCGAAATCTTTTTTAAGTATTGGGTACCGATAATTCAGCACATCACTACTCTTTGCGCCAGGAAGCAATCTTTATACATACTTGGGATCCCCTCAGGTTGCTTCGTTTGAGTGTAGTATTGAAAAAACAAAATTACATATTATTTCAAACTGTGGAAACACACCACTATTTTAAGACTTCATCTATACATTTCTTCATGGCTTTAATTACTTTTTTCAACATCGCAAAAACTTTGATAGGCTAATAGCTCAGTTATGCATACTTGGCGTTGCATGAAGTTGCCACATAAGGATCCTGTTACGCAACGCATAGCACTACACATGTAGAAGTCTGTTGGGTTTTGATTTTCACGTAAAAATAGTATAGCAGTGCAAAGTATGCACAACTGGGCTATAAGAATTCCCTAAAAGGAGTATCTAACTCTATGGCTGCGTTTCTTTATACATTCCGGATAATCTCATTTCACAGCCGGAATAAACAGAATACGTTTGGAATATACGTCAACATATAATCAGGAACGTTCTAAAGAATAAATAAACAAAAAAGTTTATTCCAAACGTTCAGAATGAATAAAGAAATGCAGCCTATGTCTTGTATGCAAAATTCTTTTACAGTGTCAGAAAAAATAATTCTAAGTCGTAGGCAAAAGCCATTCAATTATTCAAATTTGGTATTAAACTGATAACTACCAACACTCGTCAGCCCTGTTTTGAAATAAATTATAGTCCATCAAATTATCGCAATTGGTACGTAATGACCAGTGTTGCCATTTTAGCCGTTTTCCGGCTAGATTTAGCCGATTGCGATAGCAAACAGCCGGAAAATTTCGATTTAGCCGGCAGCCGATTTGTTAGCCGTTTTGCAGAAAAAATTAGCCGTTTTTAGCCGATTTTGCTATTTGCCTTGTTTTCTTAAATTTAAAATATGTACATTGTTTCCATTTTTGACTAAGCGACCCAAAATCTGTTAGAAATGGCTACTAGCCTTATCGTGGAGAAAATTTTTCATGTCAGGCGGGGTTGTATGAAATTGGGTCAATTTCGCTTATTTTTATTTTAAACGAAGAAGGGATTTTCTTCATAAAATGTTTGTTATAAATGTCCTAATTTTAAGTGTGAAGTTTTATTCGCAAACTTAGAAAATAAGAAATTGTTTCACTTTTAAGACACTTAAGATGCGTTTGTGTTTGGATATAATGCCAACAAACAGAATAAATATTACATGTAGATATTGTCTTCCCAGGTAGCGCATATTCAATTCTGCCTAAATTACAAAACATCATTTATGCCCACTCCCAAAGGTTTAAGGTAAGGGAAAAATTTATATTTTCAAGCACTATGTACACATATGTATTTTTTTAAACAAACTTTTTTGCTGAGAACTTATTTAAATTCCAAATACCGAATGCGAACTTGAATTAAAGGAACCAACACTGAAGTGAGTCAAAATGAAAATAAAAGAGCACAAATTTTTATGTAAAGCAAAACTCTCTGCAAAAGCAAAACTTTCTTCAAATATACGATTCAATTTCTTTGTCGGGTTTACTATATCGACTCTGGTTGAGATTGCATTCCGATTAAGAATACAGTTTTTTTTGCCGAGTACCTTTCAAATCATTGGAATTAACTAAATTAATTAAGTAAACAAGTATTAACTTACATTTTTCATTTTAAAATCGCTCCAGTTTGTAAATTCTTAAATTTCACGAACTTGTTTATTCAAATTATCGTCGACAAAAAATCCAACCATGTGCCACAATCATATGTTTTTCCCAATTGCAAATTATTGCTGGCAAAATTTTTTCTGGCTCGAATTTGTAACTTCTCTCCAGGAAATAGGCTTTTTACTCGTGATTTATTTAAATAAAACATGTGAAATTTAGTTGAAACATTTTAGCAGTTTTTAGCCGGTTTTTTTGCCAATTTAGCCGGTTCGTACAAAAAGTTCTGGCAACACTGGTAATGACTCGACGATATGCTCATAAAATAACTGCTCTTTTCGTTGTATTAATTTCTTGGGCATATCAAACATTATCTGAAACATGTTAGCTATAATTAAATTATTTTCTCCTTACTTTTCTATAGTACAGTTTAACGAAGTTCCAACGTTGTGTAAAACCCTTAAAAAATTCTAAAGTATTTTGTTTGTGTAAAATAAAGTTACACAAACAAAATACATGGGGAAAAATTACCGAACACTGAGTTACCGAGTACAAAGTACGGTGGGAAGACCACTATTACAAATCAGTACAAATTTTGAAAAATAAGGACATTAGCGTACTGATTGAAGAACTGAAAAAAATCTGTACGAGGGTTCAAAAATCAGTAGTGTACTGATAAAATCAGTAATGTACTGATAAAATCAGTACGTCTGGCAACCGTAGCAATGTATATGGTTGCAATGTGTCGCAACTCTGCATACACAAACAGTTTGAATACCGCAGTATAACAGTATCCAAACATTGATTGATTGATACGGTTTGGAAGTCAGCCATTCTTTGACGTCATTTGGTTTTTTTTATTGCCCACATAAATACCCACCAGAAACCTTTTGAACATTAACCAATCTTACCAAGATTGGCCAAAGTTGAAGAGGAGAGGACTTAAATTAAGGTATGCCGTCGATATTAATGTCGATCGTTATGTCGTCAAGTTCTACCAATATATTGGAAATTTTCTCCGACTGGGGGCATTCAACCTATATGAACATAGGGACTAGGTTAAACAGTCCTAATTATAGCCTTTCCCCTTTTTTTAGGAAAAAGTGTTTCCGCACATACCAACCAACATAATATTTTATTTTTGAAATTAACTTTTCCCTCATCGGGGGAAAGGATTCAAACGATGTACTTTTAGAAAGTTCTTCTGAAACTTCATCAACCACAGATCGATATACGACCATTTAAAACAAATATAAGCTTTGTTTTTCTAAAGATAATTATGTGACTGTTTTGATCCAAGTGGATCAAAAGTGATACATACATTTTTCGATGAATTTTGGAGAGATCCTTTTTATAAGCTTTTATTTAACTTGGTCATCCCGCAGAAATCGCGGAAATTTCCAATTGATTTTAAACTAACTTCCCGACAAGTTAGAGACTTGAAATTTTCAGCATAGTTCCAATCACGATGACAATGCAATTTAATATATAAATGAATTCCCCATATGGTCCAGGGGGCTTGATTCAAAGGCGGTCAAAAAATAGTAAGATTTATGGCTAACAGAGCGTAATTTACCAAAGAACGTCAAACCACTATAAAATTGCTAAAGCTGCCGGCGATGGTGTGGCAAAGCTATTTGTGGCAAATTCTAGATATTAACCTAGTCTAGATATGAACCTCGTTGTAGGAATTAGAAGACTCCAGATGTCGCCCCGCCAGAAGAAGTTAAATATTGCGCCTAAATATATGCCATTTACATATGCTACAGCGGAAATGGACGCCACGCCATTTCTTTAAATGAAATTAACTGCTGCTATATGTACATATGTGTGTTAATACAAAACGTAAGCAAATATTTTGCTTGCATAAGTTGCGTTCCAGATGCTCACGATATTCACGATTTGCAGTTTTTTTTTGCAGGAAAGCGTTCCAGGTGCCGAAAAACCTGCAAGTCAAACCACTTTTGTGAGAGTAACTTGCTCTCTCTCTCAGTCAGAAGTTGCAGGTTTTAGTCCGAAGTTTTTCTTCCTGCAAGTTCATGAAAAGAGTCAAACTATCAGCTGTGCTGTCAAACAAAAATTCAAAATAGAAAAAAAACACACAGAGAGTTATTTTAACTTGGCCTAAATAAATACAACATATATCGAAATGGAAGCAAAAAATGATGCAAATGAAAATGTAAGTAATTATTCGTATTTGCGTATGTATGTATATATTAAAATTAAAAAATTGTTTAGCCAAGTTCTTCCGCTTCTGTACAAGATGTGGACATTTTCAACGGAACTTGTGGATTCATCAGAGGAATCTGATGACGATGTGTATGAGCTTTTGGTGGGCAATTCTGATAGTGAAGATGATGCCATACTGGAAAAGATTCTGCAATCGAGTGAGAGAAAAAAAAGAAACTCCATAAAAAATTATTTTGAAAGAGTTGTGCCCAAATATAGTAGGGAAGAGTTCAAGACACATTTTCGTATTTCAAAGGATTTATTTGAAAATTTTGCAAGTAAATACGAAGCAAGCGATTTATATAAAAGCCTACGCACTGAAGTGTGTTTGTCTGCAGCTAAGCATTGGGCTTTATTTTTATGGTTTGCGGGCCATGAAGCCTGCAGCTTCCGTGATTTGTCGGATCGCTTCAACGTAACCAAATCAAGCGTTTGCCGTGTAATAGAAAGGGTTACGAAGTACATAAGTAGCATGAGTCTCGACGTCATAAAATGGCCAAGCAATGTAAAAAAACAAGAATCTGCCAATTATTTTGCTAAACTCGGTTTTTCAAAGGCAATAGGTAAAAACAAGAACGATATATGTACATACATATGGAATATTGTATTAATTCTTACCAATATTATCTTTGTTTATTTATCTTTCAAAACAAGGTTGTATTGATGGGACCCATATTGTGATCGACCCACCCTCAGAAAGAAAAGATGACTATATTAATAGAAAAGGCAACGTAACTCTGATCATGCAAGGAATTTGCGATGAGCACAGGAAGTTCATCAATGTTTTTGTAGGATTTGCGGTTTCAAGCCACGATAGTTGGGTTCTTCAGAACTCCCCTATTTACAGAAATTTAGCATCAGCATGTGGAGGTAATCTTCATTTCTCTATTATTTATCAGTTATAAAATCATACAAGCATTCATGTATAAAACTTTGTACATTTCAGGTAACTATTTGCTTGCAGATTCAGCTTATCCCTGCAGCGATTTCATTATAACGCCTTACAAAGACAACGGACATTTGAGCCATGACCAAAAAAGATTTAATATGAGCCTTAGCAAAGGTCGCATTGCAATAGAACACGCTTTTGGTTTATTAAAGCAACGGTTCAGACAGCTTTACTATTGCAAATTAAGAGTCATTGACAAACTTTGTCGCTTTATAGGAGCGTGTTGTGTTTTGCACTATCTTGCAGATGTATACGACTTTGAGCTTATAAGCGAAGTTGAAAATGAAGGCCAATTCGCAGACGAGGAAACATGGGAACCAACTAGAAGTAACCGTGTTAGAGACCAAATTTGCCAAGAAATCCGACTACGCAATCGGCAATTATAAATTAAGGTTTACCTACCACTTAAATGCAAGTTTCAAACATTGAACACATTTGGGTTGTTCACGCTTGACTGGTTATCAGGTTATATGGTTTTGTTATATATTTTATACAGTTTACAACAAAACATTTATATTAAATTATTTCAAAAACTCAAATTTAATTCAATTACAGTGCTTGTACATTTAATTACTTATACAGCAGACGCTCATACAAGTGTTTACGTGTGGATATTTTTTTTAATTCACAATGTTTTTCAAGTTAACATTTTTTCTTATTTTTCATAAAAGTATTGTTAATGCTTCAACCCAAACCATATAAATCAAAATTATAAAAAATGTTCATCAAAATTTCAAACTTTTGAATATGAATCTTTAGAACTTTTTTGCGTATTTTTTGAAACTTGAACTCTTGAACACTTGTATGACTCACTGTATCTAACTTCTTATATGTAGTTACTAAATTATTCAAAATAAAAATAATTAGTAATTATCATTATAATTATGCTTTTGAATCATTATTTCCAGTAGCTCTAATTTCTTTCTCTCCCTTTCTTCTTTTTTTGTTCCCTTTCCTCTTTCCTTTTTAAAAAATCTATAACTTTTCCATGAAATTCTTTTCTTTCTTCTGCCATTCCACTCAAGGTTTTTTGCAGCTGGTCATTGGAATTCGGTCTCTTCCGCTTCCTTGAATAACTCGGCACATCATCTGTAAAATTATAGTAAATTGGTTTTTATTAATTTAATAATGGGCATTATGAATCAAAACTAATCAATTGCTTTTTCTTAAAATTTCAGACCTTTTACTTAAATTTATTTGAATAAATCGAGTAAAAGGTCTGAAATTTTAAGAAAAAGCAATTGCTTAGTTTTGATTCTTAAGGCAGATCATGTACATATCGTCTGTGATACTGCAAAAAGTACTATTGTAAACGTTCTATAAATTAATGGTAAAAAAACCTGTGATTAAAGATACATGAATGTGCGTATTTAAGAAATATACCTGCTTGGTCATTTTCCGATGTGAGTTCGGAATTGGACTCATTCAAATTGCTGGTGTCCCCGCTTGTATCCACCTGGCTACTTTCCCAGAGGAATACCGGATTCAATGAGGCCTTTTCCCCCAATATTTCATCCAGTTCGCTAATAAATAATAAAAACAATTTTAAAATTTAGTGCAACGAAAATAACTATAAACCATTTTCAACCTCTGATAAGGACAACTTTGTCGACTTCTCCCAGTCTGCGCGTTATTTTAAATTACTTTTTTGGTTCAAGGCTTCGAAATTTATTTTCTATTTGTACTGCTGTGAAATTGTAGCCTTGCTCTCTCATGCTGTCCTCAATTGCTTTCCACATCTTCGTTTTATTGCGGAGTGTCGCAGATTTCCCAACTTTGGGACGAATTTCCTCTATCATGCTCAGCATTAATTTTGTTGGCGCTTCTAGCCAAGCATGTTTCAAATGTTCGCCTTTTCTTATGGGAATATAGTCATCCTCTGAAAATTTTAAATTAAAATTTCATGGAGTTTGTTAATAACATTACTTGCCAGTTGCAGAGGTCGTCAACTGTATGGAGTGCGTGTCATCCACAGGCGTGATTTTGTCAGAGTCAACCTGCATTCCATTTTCTATAATTGCAAGTTAAAACAACATTAACTTATAGTTTATTAAATGTACGGAAATTTTATGAAAGTAGGTATTCCTTAATTTTTTGCTACTTACCCACTTGGGAGAAGACCACCTCGCCAAAGGAGCAGCCCTGCGATTCCAGCACATCGTCTGCAACTTTTCGCATAAACTCGGGATCTGACAAATATCAACACACATATGTATGAACTAATAAATGGCCATTATCATAATTTAACTTACCTTTTTGAATTCTATTATATGTTTGTGGCGAACAAGCAGCTTCAATTTGATTTTCCTTGTTTTCCTGTTGTGCCGGCGTAATTTTTGACAAATAGTTTCTAGAGGTGGAGAAAAATCGATGGTAACATCGATACATCGATGTTTTTATGTAAGCTTCTAACATCGATGTTTGTTTCTCAACAATTTCAGTCTCTTAAGCCTTTTTGCTACAATTTTATTAATTGTACTAATTTAAAACATAAATTATTGAATTGCGGAGGTGTTGGAGACTTGGAGTGTTGAAGTACATGAAGATATCATGGATAAATGTTCGCAAAGTAACGGTGTTTGTTTTATGTATAGATTTCATGAGTGCGATATATGTATAAAGATAAATTTTAGTGACTTTTGGTAAAAACCCAAAAAAACTTCTATTTGTTATGAAAAACTGTATGTACACTGGCGATCAAAAGTGAGTGCATTGTGTTTTTTTCTTAAATATTAGCAATGTTTTTCAAGTTAAAATTTTTGGACTTTTTACCATATAAAAGGAAATTTCTTATAGAATAAAATGCGCAAGACCGTTTGCAAACAAAATTAAAAGAATTAACGCTATAGTTTATAAATTGCATTTGTTATATGCATAACATCGTAAAATCCGTCACTTGAAAAACGTTACAAATATTAAACAAAAAACACCTTGCACTCACTTCTGATTGCCAGTGCATATAGTGAATGGCAGAAATAACTCAAAAAGTCCTACGCAGAAGAATTACATGCAAAAATACTGTAAACAGCGTAGTCGGAGTTCGAGGTATAACGGCGCAAACCCGATTTATTATCAATTTTTAAAGGACTTTTTGTGAAAACGTACTTTAAATATATCAAATAAAATACTAAACTGTATATTGTTATGAATATTTTTTAATTAATCCAATTTATTCCCAAACGAAAATTTAGAAAGGAGAAATGCTTTGGGGAAGTTAATATCTAGCCTGATTTTCAAAGTTTCAAAAAATATCGATATTTCATCGACGTTTATCTTTCAATCGATGTTTCTCCAGCTCTAATAGTTTGACATTTAAATCGTTGCAGGAAAAGTGGTTTTTCGCGTTCCAGATGACTTTTAACTGTTTCGCTCTCGCTCCTCTCTTTCAAGAGAGTAATTTTGTTATTTGACAGTTTTACAGGTTTTTACACGAAGTTATCTGGAACGCAACTATAGTCTTCTGTTCTCTTTCATTGCAAGTTGAATTATTTTGATATCTATTGCAAAATTTTTTACATAAAATAAAGTAACGCTTTTTAATATAGAACGCTTTTATAAATGGACTAAAAATTAGAAAATAAAATAATGTAAGAAAATATTTTTTAAAAACAAGCTTTTATTTAACATGTACAATCAAAGGAATAAAATTAAGTAGTGTAACAAAAGATTTTTTAGCACGAAAATTTTGTCAAAACTGCACTAAAATGAATAAAATAAAATAAATTAAGGTCTCGTTAAAGTTACTAAAAGCCATTTAGTGAAAGGAGTTATTCAAACTCTAATGAAAATTACTAACAATTTGTACTAATTTACTTCGTTTTTAAAAAAGCTTGTCGGCGAATTCAACGTACATGCATAGTTGGTTAGGTATGTATGTATGCAGATATTTAAATGCCGGAACATTCCATTAATTACACACCTGTCTGGGGCAGTTAGAATGGGCCTAGTGCCCGAAAATATGCTCTCGAAAATAGACTAGTAAAATTCAAAATTGTGGATTTAAAATGGCGATCCATTTTTTTTAAAAGATGGTTGGATTTATTCGAAAACCGGCACTCGAGAGTTTTTGGGGTCGACGATTACGAATCTGAAGTCAATTAAAAAAAAAAATTGTTGGATTTGTTTGAGACTCTTAACCGCCATTTTGAATTTTGAAAATCTGACGTCAGATTCGTAGTCAGCAACCCCAGAAAGCCTCTGGAACCGAGTTTCAACCCTTGACAATATTTAAAACGTTCAGTATCAACGTTTTAATTTTAGTAATTTTTATAAGCTTTTATTTAACTTGGTCATCCCGCGCAAATCGCGGAAATTTCCAATCGATTTTAAACTGACTTTCCGACAAGTTAGAGACTTGAAATTTTCAGCATAGTTCCAATCACGATGACAATGCAATTTAATATATAAATGAATTCCCCATATGGTCCAGGGGGCTTGATTCAAAGGCGGTCAAAAAATAGTAAGATTTATGGCTAACAGAGCGTAATTTGCCAAAAAACGTAAAACCACTATAAAATTGTTAAAGCTGCCGGCGCGCCGCGGCGGTAGTGTAGCAAAGCTATTTGTAGCAAATTCTAGACTCCAGATGTCACCCCGGCAGAAGAAGTAAAATATTACGCCTAAAGATATGCCATGCTACAACGGAAATGGACGACACCCCGTTTCTACGCGAATTCAGCGTACATGCATAGTTGGTTAGGTATGTATGTACATATATGTATGTATGCAGATATTTAAATGCCGGTTTGCTATTCGCGCGACAAGCTTTTTTAAAAACGAAGTAAAGTTTGTTTTGGTCATTCACACTCATTTTTAATGGTGAGAAATTCTAATATCAAACAACATTAACAAGATTTTAGTCTTAAATAACCTTTTATTATAAAGAAATTTCTCTAAGGTTAACACCACTGCTCGCAGTTTCTCGAAATGTAATTGCGACTTCTATTTTATCACAGTCACAGTTCGGAGCAGCGACTCTGACTGTTAAAGGGAATTTACATGATTCAACTTTCAGAGGCGATTGGGGAATGCGAAATCCTATACAAAACCGTCATTGCGACGGTTCCTTTGTTACAGTCTGTCACGAAGACTTTTTGGAAGTTGTCACAGCAGTTACCCGCGACTTTTGAGTAAAAGTCACAGGTACGCAAATATCTGCCACCTCTAGATTCCACAAAAAAAAAACACCAATGTCGTGATAAACATGTCATGTAATGCCTACTCTATTTATTCCAGTTTCATTTCTGGGCAAAATAGAACGAAAAATGGAGCATAAAATTTTGTGAAAAAAGTATGCGTAGATATCACTGTTTCTTTGTTTCGCTTTTGCTTTGACTTTTCGTTTCAAATTTATTGGAAAATCTGAGCGATAATTTGCAGTAATTGTGATTTTGTAAGTAAATTTTTTGGTAAAATATATACTATTCATATCCTACATATTATTGGAGCAGCGCCTCGGATGGCTATTATGATGCACTTTGGTCTAGCAACTTAAACGTATAATTATTTTATAATATAACTGCTAGAATTAAGAAATGTAATTTTAAAATTGTAATGAAAAAA